TACCCCCCCAAGATGACTTTCCCACTTCCAAAACCAGAATAGTGCCCAAACCTCGAGATGTTGATAACCCTGAGTGGTGAGACAGCTTGCAGCAGAGTCTTGCTAAGTACTGTTTATCACGGCATCAGCAGCATAGCAGTCGACAGTCCGACGCTCAGACCACTTGAAGCATGTGTACATTCCGCTGTCCTCGCAGCCTTTTGGCTGAAAGTAATTCGAGCTGCGTGATCGCTGCGCTAAAACCAAGCGAACAGAGTGCACTCATCGCCACTTGGGCTCTGACGGTCACGATATGCCCTGAACACCGGCGAATTCGGTAGCCGGAGTGTGAGGTGCTTGAAATTCTGTTCTACAGCATTTTCTGAAGTGTTGGGTTTGGCTCTACGCTGCCACTGAGCTACTCATGTCTTTTATTCCGAAGCGTCGACGAAAGCAAGACAACCCACTCGAAGCGTCCAAGATATGACAGCGCAGGTCTGAGAGCGAAGGTGGAAAATCCAAGACCCAGGAGAAGTTGAAGCTATGAACCAGAAACGGATTTGGAACACCGACTTGCACACGGCTCTTAGGAAACTCTGGACCTTACTGAGGAAAAACACTAAGCACCACCCTGCAATTCGGACCGCAAAAGGCTCACACTAAGTCCCTGACCTCGACGCCTGTGGCTTTGACCATCCCACTCCTTAAGGCGCGAATAATTGGTGCTTGGGAGGAATGACCGCCAAGCAGGTGGGGTTGCCGAAAGCTTGAGAGCTCACAGGCTTCTTGGTTCTCAGACAGTTTGAGATCCTCCTTTCGATGGCACAGGAATCGGGATTCGGGAAAGTCTGCCTTTACTGTCCCGTCCTTGGTCGTTTGGCAGGTGACGAACGTTGTGTTTGCAATGCTTCCATGCCGTGCTCCTTGGCACATGCATGAAGATGTTCCGGAGCCTGTAGCCGGCATATTCGATGGATGCCGATAGCTTGCCAGCAGGTGTGACTTGCTATGAGTCCAAGTATTTGATGGTGAGCTGGCACGTCCTGCAACAGGAGGGAATTCCAATCATATCCTCAAGCCCTGACTTCTTCTAGGAGCCGCAAGCGACTGACAATAATTCCTTTCCATAAAGGCATAGTATGATGCATGCCAGGCGGCTATCCGGTTTTGTCCATCCTCAGAGCCCGAGCATCGACATGGACTCTAAACCCCGAACCCATAGGGTTTACTACAGGTCAGGTGCAATTAGGGTTTAGGGTCTCCAATTAAAGATCCATGTGCTACGGCCTTAGATGGCGGAGTGCCTTTCTTCCCAGAAGGGTTTGTGTTACGATTTGGAGAAGTTTTGCTACAGACAGTCGCTGCGGCTTCACCACTCAGGGCCCCAACACCTGTGGTGGCATTTGTCGGTTGGTCTAGGCTTCTGCAGTAGGGCTCGACCATCACGAGGCACCCTGAAGAATGAGATGCCTAATCCCACTCCTAATTTAATCCAACCTCCATCCACCACGCTTTAGGATGACGTGGACCACACGCTGGAGATCATGCGAAACTTTGGCGAGGCTGGTTGGGGACTCACACGAAGAAAAGTTTTCGCATAACGGATCCTTTCTTAGACACCCTGAAGATCCTTAGTTGGCATCCCAAGCTGTCAGAGCTCTTATACAGGGCAGGAGGGCTTTTCTGGGCATAGGGGACCTTGGGACGGGTATAGGGATTGATAATGGTGGTCGCATTCCATTGCAAGCCCTACACACACACACACACATATGAACATATGCGTATGTGTGTATGTATATATATATATATACATTTACAACATTTATATATATATATATATATATACATCTACATATACATATACGTACATATTCATAACTATACACATACATATGCATGTATGTATCTATGTGTGTATATATATATATATTTATTTATTTATTTATTTATTTTTTACTTAATTTATTGACAGACACACACACACACACACACACTCCGCAGCCCTGTTCTATTTCTTCGAGCCGCAATGTTTCCTAGGGTTTAGAGCTCTTGGGTTGGGGCCCTAAGCGATCTGAAGCCTGTAATATAGGGGCCTTAATGATTACCTAGTATAATATACCCCAAACCTCTATTCGAATATTTAAGGCCCCTACAGTAGGTTGTCGGTTGTCGTGGAGGGGTCTGCTTGTGCACTTCCTTGAGACGGGCCGCCACTTTAAGGCACATCTGTGCCCAGAAACTCTGAATTTCTTGAGGCAAGGGAGACTGCTTGAAGTAGCACTGGATCACCTAGTGGGATCCTTAGCTGGGGATATTGGAGTTGCTGGAACCCCGAAGGAAGCCTCGTGGCTTTGGGCCCCTTGCAGCCTAAACCCTTCCAAATCACGAAAACTAAAGTCCAGGACTTGGGGTCAAGGGTTTTATGGGATGTTTACGAGGGCTTCGTAGTTCATTCGCGTGCTGCTTTTTGTGCGTTTTAAGACCGAGGGCATATTGGGTTTAAGGCCATCCAGCCAGACAGCTAACGTGAAGAGTCTGGGTTCGGAAAGCCAAGACAAACACAACCCAAAAATGATGCCTGACCCCCTCAGCCCTAAGCAGCTTCCGGGATCTTGCGAGACCGAAACGAGCGTGAACAAAAACCTGAACAGGTGGGAAGTTGCAAGGTTTGGGAGGATGCAGACGGCTTGGTGCAAGTAGCTGCTTGGCTGTCGGAGTGGCTCCAACATCAAGAAAGCCAGGGGCAAGAAGCGGATTTTGAGGAGTTGCAATGTTTAGAATCTCATTACAGCCTCTAAACCCCACAAAACCTACCACCCCTTAGAGCCGAATGGAGGCGAGTTTTTCTTCCGAGCTTTCTGGCTTTCCGAAAGCCTACGTCCTGAGAGCATTAGACTTCTCCGACCTGCAGGCCCCATCCGCCCTCCCGAAACTTCGAAACTCCAAAATGCCCTCAACTCCTGCAGGCCATCTAAGATGCCATAGACGGGGTTCATTACATGGACTATTTTGGGGGGGCTCCTTACTATAACTGTCGAAAAATATACCCCAAAACCTTGTTCTAATTTTTAATGCTTCTACATTATTTCCAGCCTCTCACTCAAAAGCCCCACTTGAAGCCTCAGAAGCCCTAGTAGAAAATCCTCGCGCGCCCCTGACGACCCGGAGAAAGTCTGGAACCTCCGTAAAAATCCCTAGATACGAGCATTCTTCGCATAGGGACCCTGGACCCTGGATGCGATTTCAGAGAGGGACCCCTTAATTTTGGACCACGCTGGGATGTTCCATGAGAGACCTCAACCTTGTTTCTACGGCGAAACAGCAAACTTGGCATGTGGGGAGTCGGCACCGAGCTCCAAAACTTAGGGGTTCAGGGTTTAGGGTTCCCAGCAGAGGCTCGTGCAGGCTGGATGCAAAAAGAAAGGGTTCTAGACCTCTCGATTGTTGTAGAAGATACAAACACATGCCAAAGCTCAGGCATACTACGACGTTCGAGCTGCCGAGCGGGCGTTGGAAGAGCTTGGGGAAAGCAGGTGCCGAACAACAATCTGACTGGCGGTCGGGGCTTGGAGTTTAGCGTTTGGGACAACAGCAACAACAATTATAGCTACAATAATGATAATGAAAATGGCTACTACTTTCTAGTCAGTCATTAATTACTACTATTAGTTTTTGGTATTAGTAACTTAGCGTTTAGGGCTTCATCGGATTATCACACGGTTCCAAGAGGTCGGCCTTAGGCAGCGCATGATCCTTCGCGTTGCGGACAGGGCGAAAAGCGGAGTTTTGGAAATTTGATAGTTTGAGCTTAAAAGTCCTGTTTCTGACGTGGGACTTTTCTAACCTACTACATGCCCTCGGTGTAGGGGTTGGCTTGTGCACAGATAGTCTCCGCACAAGCTCATTGGCACCCAGTCCCACACGCTCAAACCCAGAATCCCGAACTTCGAACCCATCACGTGGCAAGGTGCTGGCGTGCCCAACCATGCGGAAACCGTTACCTTGGCTGCAGCCGAGTTTGTTTTGGAGTGTCAAGTATATGAGATGCTTCGGGCTGAATCGAGGAGTGGCATTGCCGAGTTTCACGACATGGCGACTACTACTGTATTCCTACTACGACTGACACCTCCTCCTGCTACTACGACGACTACTACTACATTGTGCTTAAAACAATTCTTTTGTGGAACCGTCTTGGCGATCTTGGTCAATCTTGGTCCAAAAGCAAGATTGCCAGCAATCTTGCTAATCTTGATCATTTTGCCCCACTTCTACTATTGCTACTGCTACTACACCACTACCGCTACCACTACCACGACTACTGCCGCTTCTACTGCCACTACTGCTGCTGCTACTACTACAGACCAAGATGACCCAGAGCCAAGCGACTAAAGAAACTAGTTGACTGATCTGCAGCAAGACAACCAGTTATAGGGCCTTCAGCCCAAGCCATGGGGAAGGACCAGAGCTTCTGCATTCAAGAACCCCCCACCATGAGTCGGCTTGCGCCCGAACTTGTAAATCGCAGACCCTCAAGGCTCAAAATCCTGACGGCCCCAAGCCGCCTAGAAAGACGCTTAGGGCCTAGAGCTCAGGCATCGTTCGGCTTCCAGGCCATCGAAGGGAAGTTTAGGAAGTGTAGGTGTGCTTCGACTGGAGACGGGGTGCCGGGCCAGGGAAGTGCAGAGGCTTTGGGGCTCCCAGGCTTTGGGGTTTAGGATTTAGGGTTTAGGGTTTAGGATTTAGGGTTTAGGGTTTCCCCCGCAGCATATCGCACTCGTGGCGAAATGCTCAAGGCTGAGTATGCACAATCCTCATGATTTTACGAGCTAATCNNGAAAGAGCTGACGAACTGATGATCCTGATGGATAGAGTCATGAAGCCGATGTAGAGTATTTCCTTGGCTCTGTAGAAGCGAGCTCCAATCAAGCCTGTGCAAAACGGGTTTGGGGTTTGGGGCTTTAGAGCTTCTCCCTGCAGGAACAGCAGGCCTTGATAGGGCTGTGGTCAGCCAAATCCGCGACATGTTCGTCGACGAAACGGACGACAATTACTACATCCTCGAGCTGTTCGGCCCGCTAAGGATACGTGATGTTGCGAGCGTCCTAAAAGCACCTCACCTCTCAATCTCCGGTCCACTCTCTCTCTCTCTCTCTCTCTCTCTTTCGATTCCTGAAACATTCACCGCGCTAGCGGCGACTCACGGATCCACAACATGCAAAAGGCGCCAAGTCCGAAAGCAGAAAGCCTAAACCGAGCCGTGATGGTCGCTGAGGTTTTTTGATGTTCGGGATGCTGCAGAGCATCGTCAGCTCATTGCTCCGGAGACGACGGAGAAGTTGCGGAATGAATGGCATCCGCACCGACAGGTGGGGCCAGAGCAGGATCTTCCGTAACCTGAAAGCTACCCATAGGCCCCATAGTAGTTCCTTTTGGGGATTACCTTATAGGATTCTATATATGAACCCCAAAAAGGAACTACTTTAGGGCCTATGGGTAACACCACAACCAGCTTCAGGCTGAAGCGCCTCATGCGCCGCAAATGCGTGGCATGCAGATGCCGGTGACTTGCTGGCAAAGGGGCCGCAGACCTCATGGCTCCCATGTGTTTAAGTAGCTATAGGTCGTGAGTGCTGCTTTTGGGCTGGCCTTTTTGCAGGGTTCTGATTGTTTTAAACGTGCATGGCTTGATGTTGCATATACAGCATAACTATGGACTCAGAACTGAATCTGTTACCCGGTTAATTTAGTAGGTTTCAATTAGAACGTGTCCACGTTGTTTGCACTGTCTGGAATCCTATCTTCACACACGTATAATCCCTGTCGAACTTGGTCACTAACCATTGGGCCGCGTGTAGTTATTGTAGCTGTATCTGAATGACTACATTGATAGTTTTCTAAATTAGGGTCCCTTTTGGGGTCCTTTTTATAAGTGTGCCGTACTATATTGGGGACCTAAAATGGGACCTTAATTTAGAGAACTACCCACATGTGCAGTCCAGTCATGAAGCCTCCGGCTGATTGCCAGCCTGCGCAGTCAAACGGTCAATCAAAAACGGAAGTCCGAAGCGAAATCAAGGAAATGCCCAATGCTGCTGCAAACTGGTGGCAGCAGTGGCCAGAAACTTGCCTTAATGGTTAGAATAGGGTTTTGAGGTATATTATACTGTAAGTATAATAAGGAACCCTCAAAGTACTATTGGTAATTATTCAGGCTTCTATATTACGTGCTAGGCTACGGCAGCAGTTCAAGCTTCAGGGCTCGGGTGGTCAAGCATTCCTGTTTCCGGAGCTTGGGCATGCAGGACTTGTCAGAAGATGCCGCTGTAAAGCGTAAATTGCGAGATGCCTCCCTGCAGACGTGGGCCGAGCTTCCGATGCAAAATAAAATACATGTTGCGAGGCGGAGACGATGGTAATTTTCGTCGTACAGAAAGCCTGTGATTTCAGAGTGTATCCATGTAGAACAGCAGCACCCGAAGCGAAGCCATTTAGTCGAGTGCCCATCTACGAGATCCGACGCTGTGGAGTTCTCGGGAGGGCCCAACTTAGCATGGCCCAGGAAGATCGTGCCATCGTGAGCATCGCGGAAGAAGGTGTAGCTCAGCTCCTCGGATGCAAGAGACCAGTTTGGGGACCCAGAAAAGTCTACGATCGTCAACGCAAGGATGTTTATGCCTCTGGTTACGACCAGTTGCAAAAAGTTTACAAACTCAACCTGCGAGGATTCCGTGAGCAGCACTGGTGTGCATGCCTCTCTCCTCACTCACTCAAGAAACCCTGCGGGACCACTCAATGAAGAAACCCCTGTGTGACACAGACAGCAGCAGCGTCGTAGAAATGGGGATCAGTCATCGACAGCACGTGCAGCTTTGAATCTGCAGAAAAGGATAGAGGCCTGTCGCAGTAACCTAAGCCCTACGTACGACAGCTCAACTCGCCAGGCTTGACATCGATGTGGAGTGCAGGTACAACTTATTGGGGGCTGCATGAGAGTAGCGCAAAATTCCTTGCACTTCGGTGTGGTTTTTTCAAGAGCTCATAACTTTACTGTGCTGAAATTCGCTCCACGGTGACAACGTGGCGACAGGACGAAGCAGCGCTGACATGACTACAGAAGCGAAGTCGTGTCGAGGAGAGACTGCTATGAGGATGGCACGCCCTGTATGCCTGTAAGTAAGACCACCGGGGGTCCCAGGGTCCACCATGATGGCAGAGATTCGTAAGCCTGGGACGGAAGGTGCTACGTCTGCCACGTGAAATATTTGGCAAGATTCGGTCACCAGTGGTAGAGTTCTTGGTTCTGATAGTTGTTGGTGTTTGTGCTGTTGGCTCTGGCCTGGAGAAGTAGCTGCACAAGCTTGCGTCCAAGGATGGGGATGATCATGCCAGGGACCTTCCTCATTCTGTTGCAAGGCCTGGGGAGGGGGAGACTGCTGTTGGAAGGCGATCTGTATGACGAGTGGTGCCATAGCTGATCCGCAGTGTTGTGAAGGGTTCAGCGGAACGCCGAACCTTGCAGTGATCGGCTGTTTCCCACTCAAACCCGACCATATGGTGAGTGAGTTTAATTTAGATTCGCTTAGATTATTGGCCGATTCAGTCGGAGTTGTGTGGTGACAGCCTCATGTTCAGGATCGCGCTTTTGTTAGCGATAGTTGACAGTTCAGAGTAGAGGATAGGTTAGTGTCAGAGGATATATATATATATATATAGACCGTGCTGTAACAGTGCATAGACAGGTCGGGCCGTGGGTTGACGGCTCAATGTCATCAAGTCTCAGCCGAAAGTAAGTATGACACAGGCAATCGCAACGAACAATCGTGACAGTAAACCCGACGTCTCCCAATTTGGCATCTGAAACGATGACTCCGAAAGTCCTGGCGGTGACTGCGTCTAGATTTCCAAGTCGTTGGAACCATCCGGCAAGGCAACTTGACTTTCTCGACCTGATGGCATATGATTAGAGTGTGTTTTTAGGCTGAAGCCTCTCAATAATTCATCTAAAGTCTCCATAATTGTGTCTCCAGTGACCCCGGAACCTTCAATCATTTTCTCCGTCGAGCCCGAACCTGCAAAGCCAGCCAGGGGTTCCTCGCGAACTGCTCAACGACAGCTGTGTGGCCTAGAGGATGATCCGCGTAGTCTTCATGGGGTGGAGGGCTATAGGCACAGGGCTTCAAGTCTGCAGGGCCTGAGGTGGGTTCAGGGCACAGACTTGCTGGCCGTGCGACTCCACAGGCTCCTCCACGCAGGCCCACTGTTCATCATATCGCTGTTTCGTTTCCACATCATAGCGGACTGAGTAAAGAGGCGAAAGGCTCGTCACTAGTGGTGCAGTCCGTCAGACACTGAGGTGGAGGCCATCCTCGAGCAGGCTCAGTGCTACTGGAGATTGGGGTGCAGGGGTTGCCAAGCAAGCACGCATGTGTGTATCTATACATACGTCTGCACTGTATATATATATATATATGTGTATATATATACACATATGTGTGTCATAGTAAGAGATGTATGCGATCGTGCCCGCTTACATGTACGCAGATGAAGAGTGGGACAGCAGGAAAGCGAGAGGGGCGAAGCCAGAGAGAGGCATAGCATGCATAGACAAGCGGGACATCATGGGACATCTGAGAGACACACAGTCAAAGAAAGAGAGAAGCTTCTACACTCCGAGGAGGTCCAACAAAAACTCCATAGGCTGTTAACCCTAAACCCTGAAACCCAAACCCTAAACCCCTAAACCCCTAAACCCTAAAGACTTGCAGGCCGGCCTCTCCGAGGATGTCGCCAAGCATCTCGCAGAGTACCAGTGGTATCCAGCGGTTTTAATTCGGGTTGCGTTCGGGTTGCGGTTTGCTGATACTCGGGGATATATCGTGTCTTGGCGCGCAGGGGGATTCTCATGTTCACACGGATTCCTTCCGTCGGAAGTATGTCATCCGGAAGGGTGGTGAGAGGCATACTGGAAGACTGGAGGTTGGATGTTGAGGTTCTGGGGGGCACTTCTTGGGGGCTACGGCACTCCAGGCTTTAGGGTTTAGGGGTTTAGGGTGAAGGAGAGCCCAACATTCAGCGACGAGCATCTCCTGCTCCTCAGATAGCTAACCCAGGTTCACACTTCACGATGAGAAGGTTAGCCTGCGTGGTCCGGGACCCAGCTTCCTCCATTCATTGTGGGGGCTGGCACAGTTTTCAAGTGGCGGTTATTCTACTGTAGGTAGAGCATGCGAAGTGTTTGTGAAATAGAAGGGTCCAAATGGGCCGAAGGCGTTTGCAAAGCAGCACTGTTAGTTGAAAATTCCACGTGTTGTATGCTTGCGATGTCACCTGTTTCGGCTGCTGGACAGCAGTCAGGCATTTTCATGTAGCTTCGCATGCGCAGGGAGCGCGTCACAGGAAAGCCCCACGAGATCCCACGAGCTCGAAGCCTCCAGGATGCCGGGACGACCCCGAAGCCCGGGCTTCCTTTTGCATCCTTCCGCAATGATCGGGAGCCTGGTGGTGCTGGCCTGCGTCTGGAGTGCTGCCGGAAAGCCCCGGCAGCCGAAGGAGACCTATGTGAAGGTACCGGCCGTTCCAGAGCCTTCGAGCTGCGGCTTGGCGAACCTCCTGCGACCTCGGGTGGACATCTTCAGCCATTTGGGCGAGGCAAGGCCACTGAGTCTTGCGACTTCGGCGGCTCAAACCCCGGCACTTTCGAACTTGGGCGCAAATCTTGTGGGTGCGTATGTATCTATGTGTGTATGTATGTATACATATACATGTGTGTATATATATATATGTATATGCATGTGTGTGTGTATGTATGTACGCACGCATGTATGTATGTATGCATGTATGCATGTATGTCCCACCCCCTTCTTTCCAAGCCACAAACCAGACATGCTTTGCGGTGACACATGTCCTGAATTCTCAGTTGAAGCTTGGAGGTGACGGAAGCAGCATTCGTGCAGGCAGCGGAGGCAGCTGTCCGGGAGGCGGCGAAAGCAGCCTGGACGCGACTGGATGCCAACCAGGACAGAAGCAATTGGCATGGTTCTTGCGAATCCCGCGGTGTTGTTAGATCCACCAGCCCGCCACCTCCGCAACGACGACCACTATGCTTGCCTTTGCCACTGTTGCTCTTGCTACTGCCGCTGGTCCTCTCCTGCTGCTGGTCCTCCCTCCCGCTTGCCGGCGTAGGGCGTAGGATTCAGGATCAAAACTCTGCACTCCCCACCTGCCGGATCTCTACCCTGCATCGTCTGGGTTTTCGGGTTTGAAGCCGGCCAAGACTTAGCCCGTGCCGCAAGAAGGGGCCTGGAGACAGTCCCATAAACTGGCCGGGAGAGCCAGGATGGAAACTTAGACATCGACGAGCTGGCCGTGGCCGTCCGATCCTCCTGGAAGTCGAAGCGCTTCCAGCCGCAGTCGAATTCCTGGATTTTCTTGCTTCTGTTCGGCAGTTTGGTATATGTTGTTTGTTTCCCTGCTGGTCTCAAGGGAGATTCTGTCAAAGTCGAAACCGTCAACTTCTAATAACTGCCATAGCTACCAGTAGCTTCAAAGAGCCCTCAGGGCTGCAGCCGAGGTTCGTGTTGGCAGACGCTTTCAAGACTATGGACCTGTCTAGGCGGGACGGCCCCGGGTTGACGAGGTTCCGTCGTTTTGTGTCAGGGCTCAGTGTTCAGGGTTTACGGTTTAGTTTACCAGCAGTCATGGGTATGTATTACGTACATGTAAGTCTGTAAGTAGTTGCTTCCGTTACTACGTGGGTTCTACTAAGTTCCTTGGATTCTGGCGCCGATCGTTGAACCAAATGTAGATACACCTGTGAAGACATCAAGAGTAGTATAAGCTCTGTGGGTAACATGTTTGCTCATACATGCATAAGCATTCATATACATGCATGCATACATACATGCTTGCTTGTTTACTTGCGTGCTTGCTTCCTGTGCTTACCCACGTCCACACAGGTGTACGGATTACATGTATACTTCTGTTGAAACGTTCAAGGTCAGCCAGGTTGAGCGCCTCTGCGATGGAAGAAGTGGTCGAAGAGCTTCTGCGGTCTGTGAAGTTTCTGGACGAACGAAAAGATCTTTTCGACAAAGGCGCGACATCAAATAGCATTAGGGCGGATGAAGTGCTATCGACCCGGCATTCTGTCTGATTCTTTCCTACTTTATGTCCATTGCTCACAGTACATTGAAAAGGCTTCTGGTTCATCGCAGTCACATGTGCTAAGTGCTTGCTCTGAGCTCCTGTCAGTTGCCGGCCCGGGCGTGGGGGACGAAGAGGGCACGTTCTCCGTGGCTGCCTGGGAAGCCTGGAGATCAACATAGCAGGGCAGCAGATCGGACATCAGACACAGCAAGAAGTCGGGCCAGGAGCTCTCGGAGCAGATCTCATCCGGCGCACCTCAAGGCCGTCCAGACATAAGAACAAGGGGACGGAAAGCAAGGCCCGCGGCCAGAAATCTTCGAGCCCAGTCTCATTGAACCTCGACACTGCACTGAGCCCAAATGCTCCCCAAATCCGTCGAAAGACTATCCTAAACAGTCCTGAACCTATCCTGAACCCCGTAACTCCAGGAATCACGAATGTCGTGGGATCCCACAAGTGTTTCACCTCCGAGAGACCGACCAACGGGCCGGGCCCGTTTGCGCTGAAAACAGGGGCAGCCTTGGGATATTTCCTGGTTGAAGTAAACATGTGCCTGCTTTCTTCATCAGCCTTCTTGTTGAACCCTGCTTCAAGAAAAAGGGTTTAGGGTTTAAGGCTTAAGGTTTAGGGTTAGGGCAGACCTGAAGGCCTCACGGAGCATGGAGGGCTTTGGGTCTGCCGCGTTCAGGGCTTAGTGCCGCTCCGGTATGAGATTCGGATTGGGGAGCGCCAACAAAAGGACGTAAATTGGGACTCGCGGCAGCTAGCTGGAGGGATTGATCGCTGGCTTCTTCTCAGGGATAACTAGGCTCTAAACCCGAAACCCTAAAGCCGTAAGGGTTCTGTAATATGGGCCGCCACGTTTTTTTTGGCAGGAGCGGAAGAAGAGGGTTTTCTTTAGGCTCTTTTTTTGATGCGCTTGTGTAAACCAAGCCCTGGCCAAAGACATGCCAAAAGCCGAAGTAAGGCCCAAGCTCAACCAACATGGTCAAAAGGGTTTGGGGGTCTAGGGTTTAGAGCTTACAGGGTTTATGGTTCTGATTGGCACTACTTTGGTGACAGCAAAGGTGGTTCTTAGTCCTTTACGATACACACCAGGCTTGTTCTCCTGCTTCTCGTGGCATTTGGGACTTTCCTACTTATACTTTGTGAGGTCAACCTAGCCGGTCACAAGCGAAGAGCCTTCCTCTGAAATCGTGTTGCCCCTCAGTCCCTCTGTGAAGTTCGATCCCCCAAACTACGTCCAGAGCAACAAACGGACGGGATGTGCTGCTGAGGGTTCACGGTTTGGGTATACTCCCTGCTGAGGCCACTGCATGCTGAACGTGCTCTCCGAATCTGGAGTTTACCGATGCCTGAACCACTTCGCAGGTGGTGGAATTAGTGGACGGTGCACTCAACTTTGGAGTTTGGCGCTTTTGGACCTTCGGGCTTTAAGTTTGCAAGTTTGAGCGGCCCCAGATGCTGGGAAACTGCGCTGGAAACTTATGTTTTCGAGCTTGTGGCTCGCGGTTCCAGAGTCACTCGGAGTTGAGTTTAACCGCGAACGTTTAACAAAACACAACACCCGTCACTCCGTCAACATGCTTGCTTGCTTGATTTGTTTGATTTTTGCCATGCTGTCATGAAAGCTGCTCGGCGTTCTTGAGCATCTTGAGCACCGAGACGCCGTGCATGTCTACGGAAACTCGGCGACATGGTGGCTAAAGAGAACCGGCAATAAAGTTATGAAAAGTCATTTGATTCTCTTGTGCAGTGCGTTGCGTGAGCCGCAAACTACATGGGAGATTTCAGGGCAGAAGCGACTCTAACATGGAACCTAGGGCCCCACGCGTTTTCTGTGTTGCGGAAACTTCTCCCACGACCCTGCATCTAAGCGCTGCCCTATATGCCACGACCTTCTGTCAAGGCCTGTAGCCTTGGCCCCCACCCAGGTTCAAACAGAGCCTTACTTCCCATGCTGCGATAGGGAGGTTCAAAGGCAGGCAGACAGTATACAGAATGTTCCTGTTTCGGTGATGGGGAATGGAAGGGGCGACCGGATCCTAAGAATCAGTACCGAGATTGCCTCGAATCTTGTCATCTAGGAAGCGCATGCTGCGAGCCCAAAGCCACTGGCCGCAGCATGAGAATCATGGGAAGCCCGAAGCGGATTTGACAGGCTGTTGTTGGGGTTGTCGACCGATGCTGGCGTCTTGAATGCATTCGGAGCTCTTGGTCTTGAGGGCTTACTGCATCCCATTGTCATGCTGTCATTTTGAAGCTGCTGCGGAGCACATGGCGTGGGTTTGGATCTCCAGAACAAGCGGAGAAGCAGCTGAGGTGTATGGCGAATTGTCAATGCCAGCTTGCTTCCCAGCAACGCAGAATCCTGGGCTTCATGCTCCGGCTGCCAAAACGGGTAAGATGCTGAACCTTTGTGCCTTTCTTTTTGCACTTCCAGCATGGCTGTCACCTGCTCTCGACGAAGGGGGCGCAAGAGAATTCGCCGGGTTTGGAACGTGAGAGCATTCATGCTAAATCATGTTGGGTACTGCTGCCAAGGAATGGCGATGGTGTTGCCGCTTGGCTACACCTCACTGATCTTGGAGCTGTTCTTCGAACTTATGCACCCTAAGTGACGAAACCCTGCGGTTCAACCTCTCCCCAAAAAATGGCCCTCAAAAGGCTAACTACAGAGAGCTTTTTCTGGCCCGGGCTTTCAATCTTACTGTCTCAGGCCTCAGATGAGTATAACTTCGATCAAGCCGAGGTTGACTGGCGAAAGGAGTGCCTATGCTCGCAATGGTGCTCCAATCAAGTTGTTCGATGTTTGTACACTTTCTGCGCTAGACTGCTGCATGTCTATGGTGTTTCGAATTTCTCTCGTGTGTAGCAAGCTTGTGGATAGCCATGTGCAGGCGCGCATGTCTGTACATGTGCCTTCCGTATGAGTGGTCATCACTTCGCATAGCAACTGTGTCATGGGGTGCGCAAGCATAGTTGCATGTAGACTTCTCAATTGAAAGTAGCACGAGTATTGTGTCCAGGAAGCGGCATCAAATGTGCGTGGGTAGCAAGGAACGAGTGTGTTTGCCATTCGAGACATGCGTGCAGGCACATGTGCATGTATGTATGTATGGCTACGGCTCAAGCTCGCTGGCCCAAAGCATCCAAGGTGTTTTGAAGTTATAGTTGCCCAGAGCCCATGACTGTGGATGTGCAGCACGATGTTCAGAACGTTGCGCAAGCTCCTGCAAAAGGCTACATGAGCGATTTGAAGGCTTTTCTGAGGCTGACTTGGCCTCTCCTGCTCGGCAACACGCTCGAATGGTACGAGTTCGGTGTGTACGGATATGTCGAGAAGGAGATCTCCGAGAACTTCTTCGGAGGTTCTGCAGACGGAGGATGGTTCGGATTCGCCATCACGTTTGTTGCACGACCCATGGGAGGTTTCGCACTGGGCTACATCGCCGACAACATTGGGCGCAAGCTTTCGGTGAACCTTTCTCTAGGCGGAATGATCGTGGCAACCGTGGGCCAAGGACTTCTACCAGGCAAATACTTCCTTAGCGGGGCGAAGGACTTGGGCTTGGTATTTCTGATTTGTTGCAGAGCTTTGCAAGGGCTGTCTGCGGGCGGCGAGATCGGCGCAGTATCCGCATACCTCGTGGAGGTTTCTCCTGTGAAGACTTTGGGCATGGCCGTGTGCATGATTTCCGTGGGCAGCCAAATTGCATGGGCTTTTGCCAGTGTTTTGGTGGCATTGCTCAGCAGCTCGCTGACACATCAGCAGATGCTGGAGTGGGGCTGGCGCATACCGTTCCTGATCTCTGCGATCCCAGGGGCGATTTCTATGTGGGGCCGCAATAGGATCCCGGAGACGGACACCTTCCTGGAGATAGGAGGTGAAGGCGAAACATCCCGGAGCCGATTCGGCTTCTTGGAGCTCTTAAAGGAGCATCGTTTGAGCCTCTTGGTCGGCTTCGGCGCCTGCTTTGCGACTGCCACGATGTGGTTCGCCCCACCGTTTTGGACGGTCACAGCGGTCCTCGAGCTTGAGGCGGCTGACAACTTGTGGGTGGGCAATTCCTGCCAGCTGATTGGTCTCGCCGTTACACCCGTGGCGGCCATGGTGACTGACAGGTATGGCGTGGGCTTCTGCGTACTGGTGGGAGCAATTTACGTCCTCATCATTTCCGTCCCGACCTACACGTGGATTGCCTTCGACCCCACAAACCGCGAAGTGGCGTACGTGGGCCTGGGCTTGCTATTTGGTGTGGCACAGGGCTTCTGCGGAGCCACGATCTACCTCTTTTGTGCTGAGCTCTTTCCGGCCAGGCTCAGGGCACAGGGAATGTCCCTGAGCTACAACATTTGCCTCAGCTTCATCGGGGGGTTCGCGGCCAGCATCTCTCAGTCTTTGCAGAACATCTCCCCTCACTGGGCCCCGGGAATCTACTGGGCAGCGACTGGCGCGATCAGTATAGCCAGCGTCTTGCTGGGTTTCGCGCTACACAAAAAAGGCTTCCTCACGCTGGGGCATAGGAGGAGCCAGCCCTTCTTCGGCTATGTGACTGCTGTAGAGTCTGTAGAGGAGAAAGACATGTCCGTAGAGGAGAAGGAAATCGCTTCCTGCTAGGCTGGTTGGCCACAGGAGGTCTTTTGCAGCCTTCTTCAGGGATACGAACCCTGAGGCCGGTTGCGTCTCGCATGCCGGGCTAAGATCCGAAGTTTTGCATGCGCGGGCGTGCATGATGTGCAGTCTGTGAGCTTATCCTTACTACAGGGATACAGTATACACAGAGAATTTGATGGATGGCAGTGCGGCTCTTTGTACAGCCTCGGCGATGCAAAGTGCGCCAGGAATTTGAGCTCGCGGGACCATAACTTTCACAGCGAGCGGCGTCAATCGTCGTTCAGTTGCCCCGTCGGAGTACAATGTAGTTGCGTCGTCGGAGCACAGCGTCGAAATCGGCAAATCCTCTGAAAATCAAGGCCCGCAAATGGAGAAGCGTGGCAGGAAAGGCCACGGACCTCACGAGCGTGTGTTGATGTCTTAGCTGCCTGCAAACCGCGCCTGATCCAGTCGAAGCGCGAGTGCTGAGAAGTATATGTATGTATGTATGTATGTATGTATGTATGTATGTATGCATGAGCTTATGCATGTATGTATGTATGTATGTAGTTAGGTAGGTATATGATTACTGCGTATATACATGCACACGTGCGCGTGTACATATGTTTGTTCACAGACTTAGTGGTGTGCACAAGTACTTGTTGATCTGACTGGATCTGCACTGCCTGCTGAGTATCCTTGGTTTCTACTGTCTGCGACTTGTGATAGTCAAGGAGTCTGCATGAATAGTTGTACAGCGCCTCTTTTATCCACAATTCTATGTCTTGCGATAACTAGTTCTATGGACAAACTTCTGGAACAGCATGTTGTTACGTCGATTCTACGTGTCGGGGCAAAGAGGGCGAGGCCTTGAAGTCTTGAAGGTTTTGAGAGACAGGACAGAGGCTTGAGACAACTCCGCCGCTATCCCCATCCAAAATACGATCCAGCACCTTCCTCCTTTCATGCGCACCATAGCAGACTTCAAGCGTATCCAGCTGAGGAGAAAGTGTCACCCTATGAAGGCTCTAAACCTTGAACCCTCATTCACCCAGGCATGCCAGAGGCGGAGGAATCTTTGCTGATACATGGAACTTTGATGAGGTGCGCCATGGATTTCACACTAAGCGTTTTGGGAGGCGGTTGAGGATTGCTGCCGTCGATTAATTTGTCACGCTGTTGCCGAAGCACGTCGCGCTTCCTTCGCTCTCGTTCTCCCTCCCCCTGTCTCCTCTCTCTCTCTCTCTCTCCCTCGCTCTCTCTCTCTCTCTCTCTCTCTGTCTCTCTCTGTCTCCTTTTAGCATATTAACATAAGAACAGTCGCAATTCTGAGTGACATACTGCATACAAGAACACATACACGATCATACACATAATAATTTGAGTGCGCTGTGTACCTGGACTTGCGTACACATTAGCCTGCAAATGTTCGTTCGTAAGTACACACACACACACACTTGCAGATGTAGCAGTGACGCTGCATGCTCTACCTTTGAAACATTATGCATGTGTGAAGGAATGGATAGACGGATGAATGAAGGGATGATTGCACGAATGCATGACAGAAGGAAATGCAATGCAATGACATGAAATGCAACGCAATAAAGTGCAAGGAAGGAAGGAAGGAAGGAAGGAAGGAAGGAAGGAAGGAAGGAAGGACTATCTCGATGAATGGATGGAATGGATGGAATGAATGGAATGAATTGAGTGTATGAAATGAAATGACATCAAGCGAAATCAAATGAACTGAAATGGAACCAGATGAAACCAAATGAAATCAGATGAAATGAAGTGAAGTGAAGTGAAGTGAAGTGAAGTGAAGTGGAATGAAATGGAATGAAATGAATGAATGAATGAATGACATGAGGGCATTGACGATGACATGAGATGAACTGTCGAACAAATGGAAGAAGGAGTTAGCGAGAGAGAGAATATAGAGTGTGTGTGTGTCTGCATACATGCATTGACAGATGCTTCCCCCATGGATCCGGCCTGCTTGGAAGGCAGCGCACACATCCAATCGCAGCCAAGCACCGCCGACCACGGCACCTAAGGAGGTGGCTGGCGCTTGAGAGGATTCGGCAGAAACTATATTAGCAGCCTCAAGCCGTAAGCTCTAAACCCCCAAACCAGTACCCAGGTAATATTGAAAGCAGTTGGAGTGTAGTTTATCTTTCATATCTTTCATGACATGAGAACCATACACCCTAATCCCTGAACCTTGGCCCCTAAGAGCAGCACATAATCCTAAGCCCCAAGCGATACAAGCCTAAGCCCTAAACCCGTCAACACCCCCAGAAACATGAAACAAGCCCGGAAAGCTTGGAAAATCCGAGAAGCCCAAGGGTTTAGGGTTTAGGGTTTAGCAGGCTCAGCCCACTTCGGAAGCGAGCACGGACCTCAGCGAGTCCGACGACGACGTGATCGCCAAGTTCCAGGCGCAAAACTCTTGGGGTTTTGGGTAGTTTAGGGCTTAGGGATTTATTTAGGGCTTTGGGAGCTGGGGTATTCAGCCGCGAAGAGAAGGATGGACTCTGGATTGTTGCGGCGGGGTTCATAAAGGCTCTGGAAGCCGGGAGTAAAGTCACCAGTTACTAGCCGTTGACGCCCCCTCTATTTGGGGGGATGCTCCTGGAAGTGTTCCCAATTCTTTTTCACGTTTAGTGGTGTTTGCATCATGAAGATGGACGGGTGTATGCCAACAGAGTCGCTCTAGCATCCTTGTGTACTGGACGACTGTAGGCATTACTGAGACTGTGAGCATGCATGCCAAGCGTTCCAGACAAAGGATAAGTCGAGAATCAAGTCTAACCCTGCACTCGCAGCCTGTTGTCATCGCCTCCTGTGCTGAATCTAGATTGCAGAGTCCATTATTAAGGACAACCATCTCTAAATAGGGACTTTTGCGTGATCGTGAAGGCTTCCTTCCGGCACACAAGTGCTCCCTCGAGAACCTGGAAACATTTGGAAACCCCAGAGTCTCTTGCGCGTGGGGGTTGTCTCCAGAAGCCGGAGTGTCGCAGTTGAAGAGCGCACAGGCGTCGGTCGGGAACAGCGCGCAACATTTACACCACCTGTCTTCCACAAGAAGCTGAAGACAGCGCCGCCTTGCACCCAGAAGGGGCCGGTCAGAGGAGTTCGAGCGTTTCTTGACCGACATGAGTGACGAGTCCTGTGGCAGAAGTATTCCAACTTCGGTGTGTCATGTCAGCAAAAAAGCACAACCTGTCCAAAAGGGTGGGCCGTGCCAAGTCTAACAACTCCTTTTCAGGCTTATGCGGCACAGTGGAGTTTTTGAACGGCATTTCGGGTGCATCTTTCCAGAGGGCGGCTTTGTTTCTGAGCATGCACATGCCATGGATATCGACAGAGCGTACAGGCGAGCTAAAGAGATTGCCCTCATAACGAAGCACGCCATGACGGCTGAGGGCCCAAATCCCTATGAAGCTGAAAGCACTACGTTGAGCCAAAAGCCCTCGCAGACGGTTAATCTTGATACTCCTTATGAGCAGTGCTCCATGTTTGATCGTTTGAGCATGTATTCAAGGATCCTTGCCCTCTTGTGCTGTAGCTTCTGAAGCGTAAACCTGAAAAGCCCGAAACCCTGGCAGCGGCCCTTTTCCCCGTAAACCTCTCAGGTCGCCAAGAAAGGAGGCCTGGATCTTCGGGAACTTTCGCGCCTCAAGTTCATGAATACGTAGAAGTCCGGAAACAGCGACTAGCTGCACTGTTTTATTTCACTTGCGCAGATTTGAGCTGGGATCACAGTCGGCTGTCATCCTTACTTCTTATCACTCTTGTTACAACAACCACCGCCACAGCCCGGACTTCCACTGCTATTCACTCCTGCGACTCCCACTGCTATTTCTGCTGCTGCTAGTACCTACTACTACTACTACTACTACTACTACTACTACTACTACGGCAACCATGATCACGACTGCTACTGATACTACTGAGACCACGGCTAGTACAGCAACTGGTCATGGCCTCTCCGCGAAGAAAGTTTACTACGCAAGATTGGCATGAAAGTCTGCGTAGACCCCAAAGCTTCCCGACTTGGCAATACAAAGCAGGAGTAAGCTTCCATGGAGGGACCTGTTGGAAAACTTAGCCGTTTTAGCGCCCTCTTCGGCATGCAAGGCGGCCATCGGTTCCAGACGTACAGCAGATCAGTTTTATTCGCCAGCCGAAACTTGGGCTGGATGCATTGGGATCAAAAATCCTTGGATTTCTGTCAAGGGCAGCAGCCTGTTGCAGTGAGCATCGAAGAGATGCCTGCTGAAACAGCGGATCTGACACTACACATCCTGTCGAGAAGACGAGGAGAAGCCTGTTGATGTGGGGCCCGGCTGGGGCTGGCGTCGCAATGCGACAGGGCTGGCTTGTGCATGCGTTGGTGTATCGAGCTTCTGCCAACACTTCTAGTCAACCTACACCCTCGAGCTTAAGGGCAAAAAGACTAAGTTGTAAGGGTAAGAGACGGCTTAGCACTTCGCAGGAGCTCGGATACCAGCTTCAGAATTCAAGTCGTATCTTCAGGCCAGCGCAATGCATGTAAAGGTTGCATAGTACTTGTTAGGATGTCGTTTCAACACTGCCCCTCGCAGCTACAAACCAGAATCTAGAGTGAAGCTAAACCTCGTCTTCCAACCTTCAGCATGTTCGGCTCGGTTTAGGACATTTTCTCCCCTTTACAGTACCAGCTGGAGCCATCAATTACTAACAACCAGGCACGGATCGATGTATTCAACCGCGGGTTGACACCATGCAAGATATTTCTCAGCAGTTGTTGTGTTTTTTGTTTGCAGGCCACAAGCATGGCAGCATTGCGCCGACAGCGTGTGTCATATGCCACCCAGTCCGCGGTGGTACCCTTGCTGTTAGTAGTAGACTGTCCTATCACAGAGGAGAGCGGCACCGAGTGAAGATCCTTGTTCGTTCGGGGTTGGTGTCAGAAGACAAACCAAAAAAAGCAAGCGAGAGTCGGAGTTCATCCAGGGCACACGTCGAATAAAATCAGGGGCTAGGGGCTGGCTGCCCTAACGCAAGCCGGTCTTTGTCGCTCGGGGTAATATAGGGGTCTCCATAATGACCTCTTATTATAATTATAGTATAATGAGCCCCAAAACCCCATTCCAATTATTCAGTCTATATTATCGTGACAGATAAAGGAAGGCTGTGGATTCAGTGGGTTTGCCTTTTGGCTGCCTGGCAGCACCACTTCACTCGTGCACCCTGGCAATTCCATCTGTCCGTCCAAATCAAGGGAATCTGGGGTTAGACTGATGGGGCCGAGGCCGGAGAGATATCTCGCAGGATGAAGTCTTCAGTCGCACCGCCATGGTCCACGAGCAATGCCGTAAGCCCTAGACTTGGCTGGTGCAGTGGGTGGTGTAGATAGAAAAAGAAAGGGTCTCAGGAATGGTCCGGTTCTGCTTCCGGGATCTATCTAACCCCCCTTGAACGACGACTCTTTTCCACGAGCTCCCAGCAAGTGGCCTTGCTTAGCAATGCTTAAACACGGCCCCTTGAGGGACAACTGCCGCAAGGGCGTGCCGTTGGCTGAAGGGCGATTCGCAGGGATGCCATGGGACTTTAAGGATATTACGGATGCAGTTGAGAAGCTGACGATTGAAGGTTCGAGTTTACGTCTGTCAGTTGCCAACGACCTGCCCTTCGTCGAGATCGCTTGAAGATCGTTTGGGTAAAGGGGTGTTCCATGAGGGCTGCCACGTTTTTCAACGCAGTCATTTGTGCCTGCTTGGGTGCGGAGAAGCACCATTCAGAAGAGGTGGGCGGATAAATTTAGACCGTCCTGATGCAGCCTCTCCGTTTGCATGGCGTGGCCAGATGTACATGTATGTGAGGAGTCCTTGGCATTCGGAATTAGTTGTATGATCGAATTACAACTAAGGCAGCAGCACAGGATTCCACAAGTTTGCTTTCGCTTGAGATGCCCCCTCGCACTTTTCAAGGCCATGGAGCATGGTTTAGACACAGCTTCGGGTTTCAATTGTTTGCGATCGGTGAGATGGCATGGCTTGTGCAACGCTTCCTCACTTGTCTTGAACCGTGACGCAGAACCCTCTTGCAGAATTCTGCCGCCATCTGCCACACGTCCGACTTGCAGCGCTTTAACCTTTGACGCCTGCCCGCATGTGCACAAAGGCTCTTTGGTCCCACTGGGTGCTTCCTGCAGGGCGATTTTCAATGACCGCCTGGGGCGGAGGTGCCCAAATAACTGCAATAATACGGACAATACGGATCAAGTTAACAGGCTTCAACGACTGTTTCGGGGTTTTGGGCACCGCCGGCACCACGAAGTATCTGGTGAGTTGTGTACAGCCGCCTAGCATTGAGGAAGTGCGCTGTGCGCCAGAGCCGGGCTTTGGCGACACTGGACAGACTAAAGCAAGCTGATGCCTTCACTGAGGAACGCCAGATATGCGTAAAAGACTCCATGCAACCGCACACCGGCCCTACAGATGGGTAGTTGTCAAAATTATGGTCCCTTTTGGGGTCCTTATTTTAATACGGCACCTATTATTTAGGGTACCCCAAAGGGACCATAATTTTGACAACTACGCAGATGATTCTCGCGGCTCCTGGCAGTGTGTCCCCTAGCAGAATAGGCCGCCTGCCAAGGTTCGATTTCCGTAACAGCACGCTGCGGCACCGCTATGACTCGGTGAAATACGTGGTGAAAAGGCCCCGAAGCGTTTTTAGGATGTGGGCAGGCTTGGGGCATTGGGGTCTCCTGCTCCTCCGGGACGACGACTCTTACTGTGAGACGTAATAGAGTCAGAGGGTCCCTAATAGTTACCTACACTGTTTTGCTGGGTTCCTCATTGTAACTATAGTATAATGGGCCCCAAAATTCCAAACCCTATTGAAATTATTCAAGCCCTACATTTAAATGATCAAAACCGGCTCGCAGGCTGGAAACCATTGCCTACGAGGTCGACTTGGCGCAGCAGAGACAAAGCTCCCGGGCCCCAGTCTGTCATGAAACATCCTTGGGTTATTTGGAAGGGAAGGTTTATGCAGCGCCCGGCTCCAATAACTAATATATAGAGATCCTGAGAATGTGAGTTTTCTAGGGACAGCTGACTTCAGCAGTACTATCAGTAGCGAGGACCGTTTCCACAAGTTCCCAGGAGCTTTAACTGGTGACTGCCCTAGATGGCACACAGCAACCAGTTCAATTCTGTGAGACTCCCTACGACACGTGTATTTGCTAAGGGGCGCAAGTTAAGATAGATAGCCTTCCTAGTCCACCCTTGGCTGTTGACGGTGATGATTTGGCAAACTTGTCACGAAGGTCATATAGCAAAAAACTAAACCTTGCCTTCCTTGTGCTAGCAGGAGAGTTGCTGGAAAGTCCCGTTAGCGCATGCCAAATGAAGAGAAGTCTAGTGGCTGAGATCCTGAAGCTCCAATCTGCTGACCTCAGGAGGTTCCGAAAGTAGTGCCAAAACTTCTAAGCTCCAATGCCTGACTCCAAAATCTTCGCCCCTTCCAGTGAAGTCCAACCCCATGTCATGAGACCTCTAATTAATATGCCTGCGGCGTCAGTAGTACTGAAACCCAGCTCCATAAAACTACTAGACCGCAAGCCCTTAAAGACGTTAAGCCTTAAGGCTCCGAAACTGAGAACACAAACTCCGAACGCCTGCAATTTAGCGCTTCTATCCTTTGTTGAATGTTGAGGGTTTAGCGGACCCCGCAGCCAAAAAGAATCTCGTAACAGAGTCATGACACGAGGAAGAATAGGAACAGGACTGGCGTTCACAACAGTAGAAGTTTTAATTACAGAAACACGAGCAGGATTTCTGTTCGACGGACGAGTATTGTCAGAACCGCCAGTAAGTATCACCATCCTAGGTGCCTCCTTGGCATCGGGCACGGCTCGCACCGCAGAGGCCGGAGAGTTTGCTGACGGGTGGATAGGGTCCCCAAAGAAGAGTTGGCTGGGCTAAGCTCCCTGTTCCTTGAAGGATGTTAAAGTTTACTTGAAATTATTGGACCGCAATGCGGTTAAATTCCTTGCTCCCTACAGGCATTAGACAAGTTCGAGGCTTTCTGAGAAAGTCCAGGGAGCCCCGAGAACTAACATTGTGGAGTTGCAAAACATGCCTCATATGGCCAATGCGCTCATGAACATGATGCAGCAAGGGTGCGAGTCCAGCGACGGAGCTTCTCTTTAGTTTCAGCCAAGTCAGGTCATAGTACACGGGTCCAGTGATTAATTAATTGGTGTGTCCCAGCCTCAGGACAAAAGATTTCGAGAATTCAGTGCCGATTGTTGTTCATGGAGGCAGAGCTGTGGGAAACAAAATTCAAAAGGAGCTGTCACGGCGTGGACCCCGATTCCAGGCTTCAACAGTTGATGTTTAGTTTCGGAGTGTTTAGGAGTTTAGGATTGAGGAGTACTACTGGACCCGCTGCAAGACAAAGATTTACGCTGCTCTGGGCACGAAAACCTTCGAGAGCAAAAGCCCAAGCCTTGCTCCTCAGAGTAGCCATCGACACCACTCTCCCACCCCACATCCGAGAAGCTTTCTCAACCGTTCATCCTTGCATGAGCCCGTCTAGAATAGAAACTCCATGAATCTAAGTAGCAGAGCCCTTCAGCAGAGCCTTTCCCTGCTGGCTGGGACGGGTCTTGAGGCATCAGAGGATCCGCCGAGTGAAGTCAAGGCCCAGGCTTTTCCTTAGCTTCGGCGGACTCAGAATACTGCCTGAACTGTTGAGGGTTTGGGATGTTCCTTCCATGATCAGGATTGTCGACAGACTCTTTCGCTTGAGGGTTTAAGAGGGCTTGAGGGGCATAGACCCTAAACCCTAAAAGCAGATCAGGAGCTTGGGGTTCAAATGCTCAGCAGGTTGAACTCTGACGGGTTCGTGGGATCTGGGAGCTGCAGAGCTACGAAGCACGAAGGGACTGCAAACTCGTTTTGTCGACGCCAGGGAATGTCGCAGCAGGACGTACTCTCGGCGAAGTCTTTGGCCCCGAATGTTAAGCATTGTGTGAAGTGGGCATGGAAGTGTGCGTTGGCACCAACTTTAGAAGGCGACCTGTGGGTTATAACAAATGTTGCAACAATACAGAATCCGAATCGTCTGTCCACCCGTTCGAAAGGGTTGCAGTCTTGCTTCCAGTGGGCAAAAGCAAACTCCAGCATGCACCGCAAGCTTGCTCGTGCAGGAGCTGGCAGAAACCGGCACGGCAGTCGATCTGGCTCTCCTTGGTGAAATGAAGGATGCAAGGGATGCGAAGAGCATAAAGAGGTCACATGATGTCACCATTTCGGCCTGATCGTCGGCAGCAGATTCATGTGCTTGAGCGTGCATGTGGGTAAATGAAGTTTTGAACTACTCGGCGATGCCCCTGGAAGGTCACCGAGCAGTAGTTTGCTTTGCAGCCCCGGCAGGAGCGGTATGACAAGTTCACGGACACCAGAGATCAGGCACTTGCGGCTGGTTCAGCTGCTGTTTCGGACCTGCGAAAAACACAGTTTCTGCAGGCTGCACGGCTAGCTTCAGAATTGGTGATCTTGTCTCCGAGCGCGCCAATCCTGTTCGGTTTACACTGGTCGCCAGATGCTGTAGGTCATCAAGCGTTCACGGGACGTGGGCAAAGCCGCCAAGAACGCCGTGTGCCGCGGTGATGTATGGCGCTCTTTCCTGCTTCCTACACCCCAAAACACCTTGAAGTGTGGGACCTGCTCTGACCTCTATGTGTGAGCACGTGGCCAAGGTATGCGCTGCAAAGAGCAGACTTCAAGAAGGCCCCGAGCTTTGCAGTTGTGCTTTGATTCTAACATCGGGCCCCCGACCCTTCTCTTTGTCTTAAGCTGTAAAGCCAGAACCCCCCACCTGACATACACCCGTGAGACTATTTCATGTTAAGTCCTGAAGCCACCTAAACTCCAAAGACCTGGACCCCCACCACCTCTGGACACGAAAGCGATGTCGCGTAAGGCAGATGGCAACTTGGCCCTCTGCGCAAAGGAGGCCCCCAAGAGCCGTCACACAGCTTGCGGGGCTTCAAGCCTGGGGGTTGTAAAGCTTCACTTTTCCCGGCGTTTTCTGGTCTTCGGGTCGTCAGACGGACCTGCAATATCTGACAGGCGAACAGCATCTGGCAGGAGCATGTCTCCACTGCACTTACATTGTCGGGGCCCCGATTGAGTCTTTAGAGCTTGCTGGTCTGTGGCTGCGGGGACATACGCCAGACTAGCGGCAGCGGCATGTGCGATAAGACGAACCCTGAACCCTGCCGCGAGTCGTAGAATTCCCTCGGATGCTTGTTTTGGCAAGGACATGGTTGTCTCAGCTCAGTGACATGTTGGCTTAAGTCTCATTGTGGGATGTGAGGCTTTACCGTATATCACATGTCCGGCTCGACTCATCACCTCGCAGATAGACGCAAAGCATCGTTTTGCCCCAGCATGTTTGATTTGAGCAGGACAGAAACAAATAGCGAGTTTGGGGTGTTGATTCCAGCAGCTCCGCAGAACTCGAGGCACCCCTCTCGAAGCCTCGAGTAACTCAGACAACGAACTCTAAACCTCAAAAAAATCCTGCTGGAGAGGCGTTCTGGAGGATTCACTGGCGCTTTGGAGGAACACCGCAAAATGTGGGTCCTGTATGCACGTGTACCAGTATGCCTATTCCTGTGTGTATATCTATTGATGTACACACATACAAACGTACGCGCATAAGTACACACATGTACAAGTATGCAAATACTTGTTCTTTGATTTAGCCATCTCTACACGCTTTCTTCTTAGACTTACAACGGGTTTGGGCTTCACCAGTAGGATGACTGAGGCAGGGGTCTCAGAGTGATGTCGCAGGCACTTGGCGGTCCTGGAATGGTTCTTGGGTATGTAGGGCTTGCATTCCTAGGTCCTGGGTGCTTTGTTACTGCTGGGATTGGAAATGGCATGTTTAATTCGTTGCGGCTTGGGTTTAAACTGAACTCTTATGAGTACATTGATGATATTATTCCTTGCGTCCGAGGTCGAACTGCAGCTTCAACTTGACAAGCTTGCGAGTGTATCCAAACAAACCGCATGCGACACTTTCCAAGAGGCCCGGGACGGGGAGCAGAGGGAGAACGCGGGGGAGTGCAACCGGCTCTCGTCATGGGAAATCTTTCTGAAACGCAAAACTTCAAGCGTTGCCGGCGCAGCGAGTGCCTCGGCCTGGCAGTTGGCGCACCAAAAAAACTCGGCACATCAGACCGGATCTGCTGGACGGCCTCAATGGGAGACCATGTGTTCACAGAACTACCCAGGTATGTCTTTTCCCTTTATGTGAGTAAAACCTTTTAAGACGAAACGGCGGATTCGTGCTGGGCTAGATGCACCTCGGCTATCAACAAGGAGCATTGAACCACGACCCAATGAATGCGAGGGCAAACAGCAACTGTACACAAGCAAAAAAGAGACCGGGCGCAATCCAGACAAGAAAACGCTACAGTCCGTATATGTGATGAGCGTTATATGATATACCCAAAAACCCCGATCAAACCTTCCGTGCGAAACCCTGCCAATGCTCGAAGCATCGATGCAGAAGCAGCGAAATGTCAGGAGGTAGCCGAGGCGGTAGCCTACCGTGCCTTCCTGAAGGCTGGGTTTGGGTGGAATCAAGGTTGTCTCCTCTATACGTACATGCCTATATATTATGTATAGACGGCTCGATCGTAGGTGGCATTAACAAGCAATGGTTATGCGGTTCGGAAGTATGAATTACGCGATTGCATACCATATCGTATTTATGGCGGATCAAGGTATATATGCATAGGTCTGCTTCAGCGCGAGATGACCTTGAGTTTGCGTATCGAAGGCCTGGCGGAGGCTGCGCGCAGTATTCAAGACAAGATGTCTCTTTAGAGTGCTTAGGTCTTGCCGTCTTGGTTTCGGGGAATCCTTCGAACTTGCTTTCGAGGCTTTCGAGTTAGCAAGTGCATTTGTCAAGAGTGACAAGTACCAACTTTAATTCGGGCCACAAGCTTCTAAGGAGTTCGGTAGAATGGCAGTGGCCTTACTAGTAGTAGCACGTGAAATGGTAACGTCAACATGCACAAGCGAGTCTATAGGCTCATGCATGCCATAACCGTGGACGAAAGGCGTAAACAGGTTTGGAATCACATATTTAAGAAAGTGGGTCGATTGATAGATAGATGGGTGCTTACAAAATAAACCATGTATCTACAATGTGCTACAGTCGTCTCTTAGCTTGAAGGTGTTAAGCTACTCGCTTATGTCCGAGCCCAGAAAGCCCCAAACCCTGAACCTCCAAGACTCCGAAGACCCGAATTGCGACCTTCCAAAACCAACAGCCCTAAACCGCCCCAAGCTTTCCCGCTTGTTATGGCTTATTCCTGTGACAGTAACCTTAAACTAGTAACCCTTGTGAGTCTTTCGGACCCCTATATTAGTAGCCCTCAAAATACCCGGTAGACTAAATCCGTGTGGGAGGAGCAGAAACTCTTAACTCGAGCTGAGCCGGGGCCTCTTCAGGGAGCTGAGAGGATTGAAACCCAAAACCTCTCTAAACTTCTGAGGGCTTAGACGTTTCGAGGTTTTGGGTGTAGGGTCTAGCTTCAGTGATTGAAGTTTCAAGGAAAGACAAGTGTTTGTGGTGTTTAGACTTTCCTCACAGGGCCCATAATGGTTGCATGGGCTTTTTGATTCGACAACCCATAACCCCCAACCCTGAATCCAACAGCCGAAGCCGATTTAAACCCAAGGCTCCAGTTCGCCGAATCCCAAAGACCCTCGGAGTTCCCACGAATCGAGAAACTCTAAGATACCGGGAAGCGTGGATCCTCTGGCCATGTAAGAAGTCTTAGCGGAATTCTCTACACCTGCTTGGATTAGCATATACCTGAGCTCACATGTGGTCGGATGCCACCCTACAACATCCTCAAAAGTAAAGCCACATCCTAAGCTATAGTTCTATTCAAACCATGAGCTTTTCCAGTATCCACTTCGCCGACTGCAAGTCAAGCACTTCCTCTGGCGAGTCCGAGTGTGAGTACGTACACCCTTAACAGACGCCAAGGAAGGGTCGGAACGAACAGTTATAGTCCGTCGCAGCAATCCGGGGTCCCTGAGAAGCCTCCTTGAGGCTGCAGAAAGCAAGCGGCTTGTGGCCGGCTCAGAGTTTACATGTCCGGGCTCCTTTCGACTTTAGGGCCTCTAGCGTTTGGAGTTCAGGCGTTAGGGGTCTGAGCGGGAAAAAAAAGGAGTCTGAGAGGGCTCGCTAAATTACGTAGAACGCCAGGGCAGCCAGGAACCCATGAGTATTGCCAAGGGTTTCCACCATGCATCTTTTGCATTGAGCATGAGCCTTTTCTTGAAGATGGACTTGCCGCACACAGCAAGGCCACCTCCAAGACAGCCCCCCTTGAACCGTACAAATTCGTACAATCCATAAACAATAAGGAGCAAGGCTGTGCTCCTAGAGCCCCCGAAGCCTTGCCCCTCTGGAACCTTCAGCCCGGCCCCAACGAGGAGCTTTGAGCTGACGATCCCGGAGTATCTAGGAGGCAGGGCTGCCTGTGAACGCACACAGTGTCCTTTGGGCCCGTAAGGTATGTTCACCGGGGCTGGCAGGTTTTGATGTAGGCAGAGAACTCGCTGACTGTTTCTGAACTGCTTCTTTCACTTCCCATCAAAAAATAGGGGTCGTCTAGTTTTTGCCATCGCAGCGGAGCAAGGAGGAGGAGAAGGAGCCGCGGCAGTAGCAGGTGTCGTCGCAGTGGTAGCCGTCGAAGCTGCAGCTTCGTTGCTTATCTGAGCAGCTGAAGTTTGGAGGTCTCATGGACTTGACTGGAGAGGCAGGCTGCGGTTATTGCCTCCTGTAGCAGCATCTCTTCTGCCGCAAGCTATGTGGGCTTTGTTTCACTGAGTTTCGATGTTTCCTGCTGTGTGCAGAAACAAGTCTGGCAGAGGTCGGGCGCCTCGCAATTCGGAAGGCAAGCGCCGGACGGGAGGCTTGTGCAGCTGGGTGACGGGAGGGGGTTTGTCGGTCATCGGCATGCCCTCAGCCATGCGAGGCGGTTGGAGACGTGGAGAAGTGCCTGGCTTGTGTCGAGGGCGTCTTCCAAGGTGTGCAGGACACCGCGTGCTTGGAGCGCAGGGCCCCTGTCGAAGTTGCTAACTTTCGGAGCAGGCAGAGGATGGTTTTCATGGCTCTGGTAGGGATGGGAGGGCATGGGACGAACTGAAGAAGTAGACTGGTGAGAATGGGAGCCGGCGTGTTGACCGCGCAAACAGCCAGGGCTGCCATGTAGAGTAGCTGCGGCGTGCCAGGTAAGACAAAAAGATTGCTCTCCTGCCCCAGGCCAGCCTTATGCTAGCGCGAGTGCCACCACTGCGCCAAAGCAGGACCTCGTCTATCTTCCCGGCGGCGTGGGCAAGAAGATGGGAGCATTGCGGGTGCAGCAAGGGCTGTCAAACTGCCACCAACTGACTTCAGGAAAAAGGGACACCTTCTCTGAGAACACATGGTTGCCAACCTGCTCGGATCGCTAGCACATGAATCGCACATGATTCTACAGGTGTTTCCTACCGTTACCCGTAGTCTACTGGCTTTCTGGCCGGGTGCTGCGCAGTCCACGCTGCTGAAGATCGAGGGTGTCCTCTACGAGCTGGCCGTGGCCTCGGTTTTCGATTTTGCAGGGCCTCGCTCGCGCTTCGTGGCTGGTGGCGCCGTGTGGCTTAGAACGGTATACACCCTCCACTGAGGCGCTGTTGTCCCACGCCGGGATTCGTGCTGCCAAGGCAGGCGAGCCGTGGTTTTCTTTCAAGGAGCCCTTGGTGGCTTGGTCTGTAGTTTGGAAGACTGGCCAGGCACCCGAGCAAGCGCAACAGCGGGACGATACAGCCGAGGCAGATGACTCGGCAGGCCTCTAGCAGAGCAGCATCAAACATGGGCGTCTTAGGAGTAGTGGAGTAGACTTAGGATACTCCTATCCTGGCCGCTCCAGATTGAGCTTGGGGTTGCAAGGTTCCGGGCTCTAGGACTCTAGGACAAGCTATTGCCCGACACAGTTTCGAGCAAAAGACACTGTGTCATGTTCAACAGCACAGCCTCGTTTTTGAGCCAGTGATGCCGGCCTTTGAAGAGAACATCCCCAGCCTTCTGCCGGAAGAAAATGAGTGAGCGGTTTAGGGTTTCGAGTTTCTCATCCCGTGGCCTTTTTGTGGGGATTTTGCCTGTGAATGTGATGACAAGTCTCTGTGCTTCGGCATGTGGGAGTGTCGGGAGAACGGTTTCGACTTCAGTTGGAGTTCTGGCCACTGGAGCCGCGGAGAAGTGAGTGAGAGAAAGTATTCGCGATCCTGCACCTGTACTGGTGCCTACCTACTTGTGAGGTAAACGGACATGTCTCGGGCATGATGACTCGCGAGTGAGGGTGCTGCCGACCGCTTTCCCTCGAGTCGATCTCGGAAGCGGCTTCTCGTCTTCTGGGTTTCGAGCTTGAAGGCCAGAGAGGTTGAAGTTGGAAGAACCGCTGTGTGTGAAGCAGCCACATGGCTTGAACTGCAGAGCTTTCACAAGTAGCCCAGCCAGTTCACCTCGCTAATCCGACGTGCCGCAGAGTTCCCGTAGCATTCATCCCACCAGAAGGAGCCCGGCTGCTAAAATGCATTGAAGCACCTCACCCCACACCCGCAACAAGCATCCCGACAAAGATATCCCAGCTCCCTGGCAGCCTTATGTCTCGATGGCCGAACCCTGAGAGAAAAGCAAAGCCCTCGGCGCTCGGACTGAACCTAGAGCCAAGATCGCTTGCCCAAGCCACGTAATCTTTTTAGCACACCCTGAACCACCCGAACCCCAACATCCAGACCTTTAGCCCGACACCCGAAGCTCCAAAGCTCCAAAGCATCCCTAAAGTGGGACTTTGATGGGCCATGAGCCCCCGAGCCTGCGGGCATGGACCCAGGACCCGAGTTTCTGTTTTAATGTTTAGGGTTTTGGGCGGGCTTCGGAAGTTGAGACTGGGACCTTTTGCGACTTCAAGGACCGTGTCTGGGCGTTTCTGGGGGCGCGAGGATTCGGATGCAGTGTGGTTTGGGCAGGGAGGCCCACCTTGCCTGCCGGATTCTGCAACGAATGCTCTGGCTCTCGGGCTGCCGCCATTTCCTCGCGGCCTCAAGTATCGGAAGAGGGAGCTGCAGTAGAGACTAGAGGCTTCTCAATGTTGCCTGACATTTTTTGCAGTTTCGTTGTACTTCGGATCCTACTACGCAAGAGTTGTACTCACGATCTTTCTATGACCGACTTCTACGCAGACAAGCAACAAGCGCATAAGTGGTTGTCTTTGTCGATGAGGACCGGAAGCGCCTCCGCGTGAGTTTGCTGCCGCCTTCCTGGGACATTCGCGGGACAGACCCTCGACGAACCCAAGAGAAGCCTTATAGCAAGGCTGAAAAGTATAGTAGGCCTCACAGGAACCTGTGTCCAAATCCTTTTAGTACCTGTGTCACAAGACGTGCCACAAGACATGAGTATGTTAGGGTTTAGGGTTAGGTAGGGCAGAGAGAAAGAAAAGCAATGCAGGAGCATGGCTGGGCATCTCCGAAGCTAGACAATGACATGGGTTCAGAACACAATGTTTCATTGTGCCCTCTTCAGTTGCAGGAGTCCGTCCAACCAGTTGTTTGTTGGCTGAGGTCATGGTGAGCTGGAGTGCAACTTCCGGGCGCCTTGCCTACCTCCTGGACAACCTTGGTGTGACAATAGTTACTGCCTGGCTAGTGGCATGTTGTTCCTAGCAATGTACTTGCAGTACTACTCTTGCTACGAGGCTGGTGAGTACAACCACTACCATCACCATGTCCGTTAAGGTCACCCACCTGCCCAGTGGTGTCTTCTGGCTCGTTCGGCGACCGCTGTCCGAGTGGCAGCATCTCGAAGAGTTCCCCGACCGCGAAGTTCAGACTAATCACGATGACTCTGATGGGCTTTTCGCTGGCTACTGTTCGAAGTGTGCGTGGTGGTTCTTGCGGAAGATGCAGGGCTTCAACCCTCGCGATCAGCCTCGAAGTACATTCCCAAGCTTCCATCGGCGCAGGTGTCCTGTCTTAGTCTTTCGCCAGCTGTCATCAAGTCTTAGCTGGGAGATGTTTGAGTCCTGAAGACGAGGTTTCCATTGAGTTATGGAGGAACATATGCTCAGCCGTTTCCGGTTTCGGCAAGTTTTAGACATAAACCCGTATCCATCAGCAAACCCAGCAAGATATTGTAGCGCCTCGTTGCATTCGGACAGGAAGTAAGAAGCACATCGGCTTGAGTCAAACGGGTCATCTTGCTTCTGCGGCTGAGAAGACTCAGAAGAGAACAGGTTGGCATTCAAATCACTACGCGCATAAAAGGAAACATGGGCCCTGCAGCAATAATCGGAGTTGCACCAGGAGCGGTAGCAGGCAATAATCGTCAAAGCAAAGAGGGATCCTAAACTACAACTCTATGACACCATATGATGACTACGTTCTCCAAACTTCCCTGTGTTTACACTAGATATGACTACACTTACAAACAAATTCCCTGTGTTCTAAGGTTGCTCTGCCTTACACAGCGCCAAAAATTCCCTTGTTCTAAACCCGAAACCCCAAGCTGAACACGAGAGACCTCGTCTGGCGGAGTCCGGGTTGCGAGAGCGTAAACCCCTAAACCCTAAACCCGAAACCCTAAACCCCAAGCCATTAAAGTTGCTCTCTGCCTCCTCTGCACGTGAGGCGGCTGCTGCGTGAGGCCGGCAGGCTCCCAGGGCCGGCCAGCGCCGCTGAGCCGGAAAAGTAAGATCGTTAGATGCATGTATCTAAGCATATATATATATATATATATGTATATGTATGTGTGTGTGGGCATATATATATATATGAACATAATACGGACTGGTTTCAAGCTGTTTAACAGGTATCTGTAACAGTTTGTATAAAGATGCACTGGTATGTATGGGGTTTTTTCTGCAGTTTGGAGATGGTTTCTGGGTTGTGCTCTGTTTTGGTGGTTTCGATGCATGGACGGACTAGGTGCGCCATGTTCAGTAGAAAAATTCGATTTCGGCGGTGTGTCGGATTGATGTGCAAACGGTCCTTATTCCGGGAACACTTCGTACAGCTTTCGTCTGCTTGACTTGAAAGGCTTTCGAGCCGCTTTCATACCTGCGGCAAGGTCGCAGAGCTCCCTCCCTGGTGCATGTGAACTCAAAGTCCCAAAGCCCCGAAGCACTGCGCACGAAAGGTTGGACTGTGAACCTAAACCGTAAGTCTAAGTGACTAGGAGACAACGAACGAGAAGAGCAGGGAGCAATGTCTCCCGTAATCTGATGTCCTCAAGAATCACTACTACTGTTTCTGTTGGTGGCTTGCTTACTGTATCGTTGTGTGCTTGAGGATGTCGGATAGGCGGCTTGCGTGACGGGATTGTGTGGAGCCTTGCCGGCCTTGTGCGAGTGTGAAACCCCCAAACCCCTAAACCCTAAACCTCTATGCCTTTGCATAGTTGCAGGCATCCTGATTTCCCCTGCTTTTCACGCCGACTGTCGAACATGGATCCTCGCCTGGCTTGTCCGAGTTGTGAGAGTGTAAACCTCTACTGGGTTCTTGTTAAGGGATTTAATTTAAGTTACCATAATAGGGATCTATAGTAAATAATATGGTTTCCTTATGATGGTAACTTAAATTAAATCCCTTAACAAGAACCCAGTCTATGCCTCGCCTGGAGTGTCCAAGTGTGAGAGCCGAAACCCCGAAATCCTAAACCGCAAAGCGGAACGTGGCTGGCTTTCTCCAGGCTCGCCCCTCCGCTGGTGCCAGTCGCCGATCTTCAGGCCATGTTGAGCCACGGTTTAGGTTTCAGGGCATAAACTAGGTGACGGCGCCGGTACGGGGCCGTGCGCTGGGAGACAGTTTCATGTTGGCGCCAAACGGCGTCGAGGCCAAAACTCGAGCGAAACGCGCGTTT